CCATCAGAGTTCGTCCCATTTTCTCGAACCGCTGCAGAGAAATTTCCGTTGCGGTCTGCAACGGAAATCAATGGTGACGCCATCACAATGGGTTTCGTTTGTCACCCAGTTTATACTTGCAGTAATATCAGTTATTAAAAATTATGATGGTTATAAAAAGTTATACTGTACAGTATCTGAAAGAACAAATAATGGGAAAATACAGTGAACACGACAAAAATAAGCTGCAATCATATACTGAAGCACACTGAGTACTGTACTGTATACGCTGATTACTTTCCGATTTTCGAAAAAATTGGATTGACAAGTAAAAATTTTCATTGGCACTGTCAGCACATGAAGTACAGTATTCAGCACATGAGGCATCCTCGCACGAAGTTTGAATTTTTCACATTCACATACCCTAAAATTTCACTGATAGTTCAGATTTCAACCAAGTCATAAATAGAAAATATCGAGATAGCATGAGCAAAAAAAAGAGCCAGAACAACAAATGCAAAAGTAAGCAAGTACAGTTTTGTGTTCTTCACGTGCTTCGTAAAGCATTAAGTCAAGTATACAGTATTTAAAATGAATATTTATTATAGATTATTTCACTTCGATTACTTCAAGATTGGGTCATCAGAGGAGCTTCGAGTTTTCACGTTGGATAAGATTGAAAGCACTCGCAGTGTCGAAGAATTCTGTAACTTTTGATCCTGATTCCTGAGTTTTGAACTCGTCGGCACACCCGAATATCAGATGAAATTTTAGTTGCGAGAATTCAAAAGATTTTCGGATGCACCTCCGATAATTTAAAAAAATCTAAAATATAAAAAAGGCTGTCACCAAAATCCAAAAATTTTTGACAAACCGATGATTGACGTAATTCCAATATATTTAAAAATGATCAAATAACATAAGCTTTCGCGAATAGAATCGGAAGAAATTTAAGATTTTCCTCTTAAAGATTGCAACTGCGGGCAGAACAACGATTGAAGAAACCTTGTTCATTACGAGCTCACAAGAAACTCAAATGAAACAGGGACTCACATCTTCGATACTTATTACATCGATGAAAGGAGTCTCAAAAAGTGGAAAAAGGTACACAAAATAAGTGCTTATCCATAACATTACATCGATTAAAGGAGTCTTAAAAAGTGGGAAAAGGTACACGAAATAAGTGCTCGGAAGGTTCTTGACCGGCTCCCAGGGTTTTCGAAGTGTGACTCACTTCTGAGGATGGGGTCAATGACAGGGAAGGCAACCACCTCAACCGCATGAAGGAAACCGAGGAAAATGGGGCATCCTGTTTTCTCAGGCTTTTAAAATCTTGAACCTTTCAGTACATGCTGGGAAACGTGGAAATCATCTCCAAAACGTATACCGTTTTCTTAACTGAAAATTGTCGGCTAGTTTTTCTCTAAATGGCCAGAGTTTTCCTACACACTGATCGCTCACAGAATACTGTGTACAATAAATTATTTCAAGAATTACTTGAAGCAAGGCTTTTCATTATCCCACTCTTCAACTCCCCGGTTTGGCTTTCATGAGACTTCGGAATTTGAGTTTTTCCACGATATTCGCAACTTCTTCTCGAAGCAGGTTTTTCAAGTCACCGTAAAAGGCAGAATATGGCAGGAAGAAAAATAAAAAAAAAACCACCAAGCTTTGATGTCACTAGAGCCTAAATTTTAATTTTCATCAATCAAAAGATTGCAATATTCGAAATAGAAAATTGAACAAACATTTTCGGGCAGCCCCTTTACTATACAGGTAGACTACAATAATTTTGTCTGAATTTTCATCTGCGAAGGTATAAGGAATTTTTAAAATATGCGTATATACGTACCCGCGTTGCTTTTTGAGCTTGAAAAAACAACGGTGCTGATATAGGTGGACTTTCTCTCTATAGGCAACGGAAGTCAAAAGACCAGAAACAAAATTCTTATAACATGGAGAGAGAACCCTATGGGACCAGCAAAACAATCATCATGCGGAGAAAATCATTGTTCAAAGGATCATTCTAGAGAGAGAGTCCACGTGTATTCACATAAATACAGTATTCATGTCATTAAAAAAATCAACACTTGAAAAATGTATGCTTCAAAAATCATAACTAAAAAATCCCAAGTCATCCCTTCCTTGAATGAACACATTCGAGGAAGGGATGACTTCCTTGAATGTGATGAAAATCCTCAACCGACCAAAGTGTCGCGTAAAATTTCACAACTCACAAGTACAATAACGAAGTGGGGGTTTCCCATCTACATACAGACAGGTCATATAGAAAGGTAACCAGGAAGAACCACGGTTGCTAAGCAAGAGACGAGACCCGGGTCTGCAACACGGCGCTGCTTTCCCACACCAGTTCCACCCGGAGCCACTGCAACCCTGGCTACTCTACAGCGAAAAAGCAGCCAGGGCCGACTTGCTTATCGATCCCATCCCCCACAGCAGTTTTTCCCAGCTGCGTTTCCCCGACCTCCAGTCCCCGCCAACCACAGCCAGTGTGCAGTCAGAAGCTCAGCAGTTGTGATATCGTGTACGTGTTCTCGCAGTGTTTACGTTACAGTATTTTCTCCAAGACCGAGATTCCGTCAGCGGGGAACTAATCTTTCGTGGACTCCGAACCCGAGAATCTCAGAATTCGTGTGCGTGAGGCAAGGAATGGAGATCTAGAATCCAACACAGCGACCAACAATAGAAACAACACAAGATGGAGGAACACAGGGTAAGAATCAACTTTCCGTATTGACGCAAATATGAACACCCGAGATTTTTCAAGCAAACAAAATTTTAAAATCACATCAATAGACGAATATTAGAGGTGGACTCTTGCTACTACGAAATTCAAGGGACCAGAAAAACGATTGTCCTAGAAACCGCCTGTTGAGAACCCTATTATGGGGCCAAAGAAAAATTATTTTGTACAGAAAATATTGTAGATAAGATCATTATGGAGGGTCCACCTGTATACGTACCCACTTACTTTCTTGGTATTCTGACTTAACAGGAATAAAATGCTGAAGTTGACCATTTATGAACTTGAATTCCAAAAGAATGCAAGAAAACAAGTGCTGGATTGTTTTGTAGGCTGCAAACATGAAGACTTCCTGATATAGATGCACATTTACAGTATATACAAATTAGAAACACCCCATTTTTTGAGCTTCTAAAATTCAACAAAAGGTGTGATTTGCGTAAATACTTCAAGACCAATGCGCCGAACTCCGTTTATACCCAAATTCTGTCGAGTAGGAAATAAAGGATCTAAGTATACATGTATTCACAGTAAGATTTCCCACGTCACCAAAGCAACTGGGCTCTAAAAAGTTATTTCAATAAGAAATTTGTTCAGGAGCATGTGGCTTTCACGGCATAACTTCGTCATACACTGAATCACTGTATTGAACAAATGATTAATAGGTTTAATACCTGTCTCACATCGGTACCCAACCAAAAGCCCCACTGATGACCACTGCAGGTGAAGAATCCCTTTATATACTCAACTTACAAACATATTGGTACTTGGCCTTGCGCTGAGCCTGCTGGTGAAAGGTGCAGCTTATACCATCAAGAGTTACATGAATACCTGTAATCCCCTATTTTTGCACAAAGGGGGGGCTTTTGCCCTAGGGGGGGCTTTGGGTCTACACCCCTCACATCCAGGGTACATGGATATTAAACTACAGTACATCTAGACTCTTTTTAAAACAATTTTCATTGAATAACGCATATTTTTGGTCCCATAGTAGGGATCTCTACCATCGCTATATAGGTTCTCTACAACAAAATTCCATCTTTGACGCATTCCATTCTGGTTGCTTGAATTTTGTTGTGGAGACAGACTACCTGCATAATACAGTACCACAGATTGATGGAAAACCTGGCAAAATGGATTTCGCATCAGTGACATGCGGCCATCACTGTTTGTCTTCACGTAATCAACACTGTTCTATAAGTATTTTAGACAGTACATGAAAATTACTGACCTTTAAATTTAATGATATTCCAAGTACAGTAGATACAGTACAAGCTTTTCTGGATGCCGTGGAATAGTTTTCGAAGAATTTTTTATGCTTCCGGTTTCATGCTGAAGTTATTTCTTCTGAGTATTTCACTCTCGGTGATCCGAAGATGAAGATTTCAGAAAAACCACATTTATTCAGAAGAATTGCGAGTTCAGGGTTGATTTCTTGGCGCTCAAGGCATTGATCAAACGTCTCCCTCCACAACCTTAGAGCAATGAAACGGAAACTCAAGGGAACCCAGGACATGGAGAATCCATGGATATGGTTCAAGACAAAGACGAATTGCTTAGAAAAAAGGACTCCGAGATNTTTTAAATCCTGTTGGCGTAATCCGAAAGAAAATCGGCTGTTCGCAAAGCTCATAAAACTTAGGAATTCAAGCTTGAAAGTTCACACGACGGATCCAGTCTGACCATTAAATAATTATATAGTGACAGTCAGTGTATGAAAGCTTTGATTTCCGCTCGGGAATTCGATGATCGTATGCATTTGTACAGAGGTCAAGAATGACAGGTATACGCGCCGAAAATGTGTTTTTCACTGATATCAACGCTCACCCAACGAAGTACCGATTTAAAAATGCCGAAGCATGCGTCGCCCTCTTATCCTGGGCAGGAACACGTGGCACAGCATGACTGACGCAACAGTCCACTGCATAACACACGCAAGTCTTTTGATCATCGGACGAATACTGTACGAGTATGAACACGATCAACGCGTGGCAACTGCTCTCATGATGTGACTGATACTGATTCACGCGTTGCGCAAGGGAGATTTCCGAACACTGATACGAGGAACTTGCTGCTAAAATCACATACACCAGAGAGCAACCCCGTCAAAAGTTCGCAAGCACATGGCTTTGCGCAGCTCAGGTCATTTCGCGCAACTCGCTGCGGTGTCACAATACAATTCTGACCCAGGAGTTACTGTGATCCCGTGTGATGTCAGCAGACTACATTGGTAACTCCGTAGCTATCTTGTGATTCGAGCTTCAACTATGCGCAAGCCGGATGCGAGTACAGCACACAAACTGGCATCTCTATGATGGGCGAACCGTGTCTTCTATACAATACAACGACCATATAGAAAGGAAGGGACGCTGGGAGGGTGTGGACAGATAATGTCTCCTGGGCGTGGTACAGTTCACCGTTGGTGGCGTAAGAACTGCAGGAAGTTCATCTACAGTCGCACGAGCTTTCGCGCATATCACAGAAACTTTCGGACGCGAGCATTGCCGGCTGATGGTAAAGGTGTCCGGATCCATGGAAAGTGTCCTGAAAAAAAAAGAGAACCATATTGCCCCTATCCTAACATGGCTAACATTGTAATCTGCCGACAGTTCCGGACTTCCCGAGTCTCTCAACAAGTACTTGCGACTGACTTACTCAATGAAGTACTGTATTTCACTTCGAAGTAGCGAGAATATCGACTACTGCAAGTTTTTCTTCGTTAATTTCTGCAATATTTATTCAAGCCATAATTCTATCCACACAGGTAAAAAAAAATTTTAATTGCTACAGGTAATAGCCAGAGCAATTTAAAAATTGCTCCATTGATTATTTCTCAAACTGCTTTTCAACAACGGCCGAATCAACATGAACTTGGCAAGTTTTCTGCTAATGCATATGTACGAACAGCATGATCAGCGTAACTTTTCTTCGGATTTTCAGAATTCTCCATTCAAGAATTGACTTGAGCATATGCAAAACATACTGAATATATAGAAATGAATATCATACCGGCAACTGTTTTTAATCTTCAACTTGCTCAGTCGGTATGTCACTGCTGCATAATAAAACTGCGATACCTCATCCAACTCATAGCCACCATGAAAGTCGAGGACCAGAGATACGATTTTATTGGACATCTTGTCGCTCAAGAAGAAACTGGAACGTGAAGCAAGCTTCACTTATAGCACATAGGTGTCACTCGAATCGTACATCCACGAAGCTCATGAACTTAAACTAGCTAAGCGATAAATTGGTTAAATTCCATGGAATAAACCACCAACAGGACATTGTGGCCATCCAAAATTTATCAAAGTAACGATCTTTGCCATAACTTGAACATTGGAACACCAACTCAAGAGGACTCAACATTACGACAGCTAATTCTTCGGCGAAATGGGAAATTTTTCAATTTTCAGTTCCGTATATCTTGTCAAAATTCACAGCAAGTCTTCCAACACGGCAACGGTTGAGGAACTGCTCAACAGGTATCAATCCAGCTGACATGTTGGGATTCAGGTTCGAGGTCAGGAGCGTAAGTAAGGTTATGAACAGGGTGTTGTTTAAGTGGGCAAGGACAAGGGACTTAATTTTACTTATTTTATTTATTAAGAACCCCATTTGGAGCTTATTAGGCTTAAACTATACAAGGGTTTTCTCAATGATTATTAACCAACTATCAATGCATATTCAATATACTGTACTGCAAGTTAATCCATATATGCTCACTATACTGGATATCCAACACTTCCAGCACTATATACCACTATACTGATAGTGGCAGTGTGAAGTATAGCGGACTGATTTACACCCCTGATTTACAGTAACTTGAGAACACTTTTCAGGGTACACATGGAATACGGCACTACATTTACTAAACATGAGCCTTTCAATTGCCACAAACATATTTTCAGCTATAAAAAGCATAACAAACATTTTCTCAAAGAAGACATTTTTCAGTTATTTTTAAAATCAGGAATTTTGACGGTTCAAAGTTATTATAATTTACTGTACAGTCGAAAAATTAATTTTTCCATTTTATATGCATTTGTTTAATACCGGCACTTTTCTTGAAATATTAGAACTGTTATGGAATTCTTTTTCAATGCTGGATTTAGTCCAATTGCATTTAAATTCAATTTGGGCACACATGCATTATTTCAAGTATTGTATTTTTTACTTTTAAACTTCAACTTTTCTTATTTTAATGCTGAACACACACAAATGAAAATGTATGCACCAAATTCTGGTCCTGAATTCGATGGAATATGGTGCACCAGCTATGTTACTCACATAGACAAGGTATTCAGATTTGTTTGAATGAAAGTAGAACATTTCCTGAAACTATTTCCTGGATTTTTATACGTGTTTAAGATTGCGCTACCACATGCAACAGTTACGGATTTTTACGAGCGAAAATCAAGAAAGTGACACTGAAAGAAATAATTGTTGAAAGAACGCATTAAAACTACACACAAAACACAGAATTCCCACAAACAGCTTCGCTATAAAAATTGTTTTCAGAGAAGAACATCATACAAGACCAAATTTAGGGAAACACTGACCTCAAAGCAAACAAGCAAACTATTGTAATCTGAAAAATGTAGTCAATCTAAAAAGTCCGGAAACCTCTGCATAAAAGCAACACGAAGGCCAGAAATGGAAAATTGAGTGCACATAACCATCAGATGAGCATCAAACTACACAGAGGCACATCTTATGGAAATCAAGAACTGATCACAACAAGTTCTCACCGGAATTCATCATGACGATTAGAAACTCGATTTATTTCTTCAGTCATCCTTTGGAAGGCATCTTGACGATGAGAATCCTTCTCCCATGGTTTCAAATAAGGGGAATGGTAGATTTGCGCTTGAACAGATTCAAACCTAGCCTCAATTTGTTTCTTAATTTCCATAACCTGCCTTGAATTCTCTTGAAAAGTTGATTTTACTCGAAAATATTTGAAATGTAACCTCAGTACAGGTGAAACGTGTGACAACTTTCTGCTGCAATCAGGAAGCATGCTTAAAGGAAGGATCCAATGACTATTGACTATAAGTTTCTGTTTCTTATTCCTGCTGTCGACAGGAGTGGAGAAAAACGTCAGGCACCTGAGAAAAAATGTGCAAAATTTCAATCAATCGGAATAAATTCAATAAAATAAAGTAGGTTCAAGGAGTGTTACCGATCTTCAGATTCAGAATGAGTTCTCTGACCGCCCCACAGCATTTCCAATTTAACTAAGCATTGTCGCGGATTTTTGCACAAGGCCACAAGATTTTTAATATGGATGAGTTCTACTCGCGAAGATATACTTTCCTTCGAGCCATTTCCTGCAAAAAATATACTTAATTTTCAATGAACAAAAAAAGTCCAGCTTCACTCAAACTAACCCTGGGATTGTGTTGCCTCTTGTTCCACTGACGATGATTCATTCCTGATGGATTCATTTTCAAGTTCTGCAAATACGAAATCACAAATTACTGCTTATCCTCAAAATTAGTTTCAACAATCATTTAGAGCGTATTTCCGGGGAAAATAATAATTTTTCAGCAAACCAAAAAGATCAAGCTTCACTCAAACTAACCCTGGGATTGTGTTGCCTCTTGTTCCACTGACGATGATTCATTCCTGATGGATTCATTTTCAAGTTCTGCAAATACGAAATTACAAATTACTGCTTATCCTCAAAATTAGCTTCAATAATCTGGGCACATTTAGAATGTATTCCCGCCGAAAATAATAATTTTTCAGCAAACCAAAAAAAGTCCAGCTTCACTCAAACTAACCCTGGGATTGTGTTGCCTCTTGTTCCACTGACGATGATTCATTCCTGATGGATTCATTTTCAAGTTCTGCAAATACGAAATCACAAATTACTGCTTATCCTCAAAATTAGTTTCAACAATCATTTAGAGCGTATTTCCGGGGAAAATAATAATTTTTCAGCAAACCAAAAAGATCAAGCTTCACTCAAACTAACCCTGGGATTGTGTTGCCTCTTGTTCCACTGACGATGATTCATTCCTGATGGATTCATCTTCAAGTTCTGCAAATACGAAATTACAAATTACTGCTTATCCTCAAAATTAGCTTCAACAATCTGGGCACATTTAGAATGTATTCCCGGCGAAAATAATAATTTTTCCGCAAACCAAAAACATCAAGCTTCACTCAAACTAACCCTGGGATTTTGTTGCCTCTTGTTCCACTGAAGATGATACATTCCTCAAAGATTCATTTTCAAGGTCTGCAAACACAAAATTACACATTATTCCTTCCTCAATGAGATTTGGATAATCTGAACAAATTTTGAACTCACCACGGGATTTTGTTAGATTTTTGTCAACCAAAGACTGGTTTGATTCCTCTCCTGCCAAACATAAATTATAAATTTTTAATCAAGAAATTTAAAAATTGTTGCTGACTTTTAACATACCACATGGTGTTTCTTGAATTGGGATGACCAGAGGCAAACTCTCAGATGACTCATGCATGCCTGCACATACAATAAGAAGGCCTTTAATCACAAAATTAGGGATTTGATTTTATCTTGAACATACCACTGGGTCTTCTCTGATGTTCCTTGACCACTAAAGCACTGGGGGGATCATTCAAACAACACTTGTATATTTATTGTAAAATTCATTGTGATGGATTGTATAAGGGTTGATTAATAGCCATGGTCCATTCCTTTCTCAGGGACCATGTGTGCAAGTTAACACAGCAAATTTATATATAATCAATATAAGACCCAGGATGGCCAAACTTCATCATTTGGACATTTCTTTATTGGTAAAGAAAAGAAAAGAAGGATAATTATGGAAACAATCCTAAAAGAGAAAATAACAATCCACTCTTAAAAATGATGAAACAATTCAAATCCTGATGGAGGATGAAACAGGTTACTCCTGAAAGAGCAAGAATAAATCCATACTTGAATTTTAAAATATTCACGCTTATGCAAGTGCTTCAGAACACCAAGAAGAAAGAAATAAATACAGGTGGACTCACTCCACAAAAAAATTCATCTGTGCATAAAAAACGGCTGTTGGTCCCATGTATAGGGGTTTTCTAAACAAAAATTCTGCCTACAACAAATTGTTTTCTCGTTCCTTGGATTTTGTTGTCAAGAGAGGCCAACTGCAGCACCCAAGTGGGGAGCTATTTTTGCTGTGACCCCAGAGTAGGTGCACACCAGGGTCACAACTGGAGCATATGGGATATTCTGGGGGTACAAGTGTGCACTCCTTTAGAGGAAATTTTGCTACCATTCCAGGGTTACACTTGGTGCACAAATGTGAAATAACAGGAGCATCACACAAATGCACCAACTGTAATCTTGGTGTAACTTATTTGTTTACAAATGTGACCATGAGTAATCCTGGTCTGAACACACAATTGGTGCACATCGGGGATATGCATGTGCAACAGAAGAACTTTGGTACACTTCAGGTGCACAGCAGGGTCACTGTGTAGAATTACAAACAAATCCCCAGTGTGCACCAATTTCCCCACTCGGGGCATAGACAGTGAAAACTGCTCAGGCTTTGGGCACTTTCCTGATGGGACACCTAGCAACAGAATGCTGTTATTGAAGAGAAGGGAATATATTCTTCAACCGTTTTCCCACTTCTGCAGAAAAGGCAAGGACGCCTGGCCTCAGGTAAAGTTCACTGACCATCACTTTTTTGTTTACTAACTATCCTGTACATGCTGAGGTCAACGCCCCAAACCCACAGGTGGGGGGGAAGCGAATACTGAAACCAGGTGGGAAAGAGAATTCTGAACCATTATTGGAGTGTGTACTTCCAAGGCATTAAATTCCCTTTTTGTACTCTGAAGTACAAAAAAGATTTTCTTTGAGTACCGTTTTCCTGTCTATTTTTTCCACTTTTCACATGTGCTTTTGGTCACGCTGTACGCATGCAAAATGTTTGATTTTGAAAATTTGAAAGATGCTGAGTTGTGCACACCAAAATTAATCCCATCTGCACCCAAAATGCCTTTAAATTTTCGCTGTGTAGCGATAAAAGAAAAATTAAACAACCTAACAATAAAAATGTGTCAAATTTCGCAAAAACTTGCAGACACAGCTCAGGATGTCAGGGAATTGACGCATGCAAAATATGTAATCTTGAAAAATTGAAAGATGCTGAGCTCTACACGAAAAGTAAATTGCATAAACTGAAATTAATTCAAAATCTTGCTTTGCTTTGCAGAGATTAACCAAAAATAAATCACCCACTAAGAAAAGTTTTTCAAAATTTGTCGCACGAGACTGTTCAGGATATCAGGATTTGGTCATTGAATCACACTGAAGTCACAATTACCGTAATCACCAATTATAAAGAGTATAATCATCATTACGCTTGAACCCAGAAAAAGTATTCGCTATATAACTTTTCCAGGCAAACCATTACTTATATATAGGCTGCAAACCCAATTTTTTCAGGAAAACTGCGACCCCAAAATCCTGTCATTCTCTAATCTTTTAGTGGGACAGCCATGTTAAATACTGTGGTTTTTTCTGGGGTGGGGCAAAAGAAATGAGACAATAGACACAGCACTCATCTGGGTCGCAATTGAAGACAAACTGAGATTCCCCGCCGAAACCTCGCACAAGTGTAACAATAACACACGCAGCGACAACCGCTGGTGTAATTTTTATATATGGAACACTTATTCATTTTTTTATTCATGAAAATGTACCGCAGGAATATGTGCATCATTTCTTGGCTTATAGATTATTTCTTCTCCAACATTATAATTTTACAGCACTGTACTGTATTCTTGGATTCATTTTTTTACATTCAAAGAATGGTGTTTTCAATTCATTCTTCTCCATGACAGATCAGCATCAGTTTAACAGACAGCAAATTTTTTGCTGATCTGAAAAAAAAGGAAAATTTGTTTGAAAAATATTTCTTGCCTTTGGAAAACGCACAGATATAGTGTAGTTGCATACTTGCATCTCTTTGAGATGGGCAATTAAGGTACAAAAACTCAACATATTTGGATTACAAATTTGTCAATGCGCAGTATATTTTTAAATTATTGCCTGAAATATAATGCTGAGGTATCTAACAGTCTGCCATTTCTCCATGAATCCAAGAAATGCTTATCAAATATAAGTTTTACGTTTTTTGGAATTATAAAGAATGGCGCATATATTGTTCAACCGTTCATTTGTCAAGCACAAGAATGC